TCTCAGCTCAATATCACCTTATTCATTTAATTCAATCAGCCAGTCAGTCAACAAATTGGCATTGGTGGAGGCACCATTCTAAGCACTGGGGATAGAGTCATGAACAGAACAGACCAACTCGCTGCCTTCATGGAGCTTACAGTCTAAGGGGACACAGAAGTGTGTGTATAGTCCTGTCAGATACTGGTAAATCCAATGGAGAAAATCAGAGCATGGTGGAGATTAAGAGCAGTGGTGGTTTAGATAGCGTCTCCAGGAAAGTCTTCTCTGAGGAGGTGGCATTTGAGCATGACAAATGAAGCCACAGGGATCTAGAAAGTCCTACCCAAGTCCCACCCCACCACAACTAGCTCAGACTCCCCTGCTACAAGCTTTCAGTGACACCGTGGGCCTCTTTCGAAGCACAATTTTGATCCACATGTATTGGGGTAATCCTTGATTCATGTCTGCCTCTGAGAGCCCCATGAGGGCAGGGCCTCTGTTTACTTCCCCATTGAACACCAACACAGGGCTGGGACTTCATGAATAAATGGATAAACAAGCATAGGCAGTTCTCAAAGAGAATGTCCGGTAGGATTTTGTAGCCTCTGTAGACTGTGAAGTCAACCTCAACGGCCACATGAATTGATTTACAAAGTGTCTCTTCCCTAACCCTCCCCTTACCCTCACCACATACCTCCTGCCCCTTTCAAGGAGAGCTGGGCAGACCCAGAGTTGACAAACAGCTGGAGGGTCCTGGGCACCCATGATTTGATGAGGGGGTGGGTGCCTGGAGGAGCTGGAAGCAGATCTCACCCGAAGATGCATGTAAACCACGTGTGGACTGTGGAAGGACTTACCACAGAAGTTGAATCTGGTCAAATCTGGCCAGATCCAGGGGCTAGCATGATGCTCTGAGGAGAAGCTGGAAGAGGATGGAGGAACTGAGAGGGGAGAGGAGGCAGGCAGGAGCAGGGCCGAAGCCTTGAGATTCTCTCTTCCTGAGGACACGGGCAGCTTGGACAGCTTCAACACCACACCATTTCAGGCACAGAAACTGGACTTCCACTTCCCACCCCCATACTCCACTTTCTGGAGATTTTGCTTCCATGTCGCCACTTGCAAGCTCCAGACTTGAGGACAGCTCAGTTCTTCATCCTCACAGATCAGTTCTATACCCCTCTGTTGGCTTCCCTCAGGCCATCCAATCTGATTTTCCATGGCTGCTCAATGGAAGCCCCACCCTTACCATCCCCCACACTTTCCATGGCTGTTCTGAATACTGTCCTTTTGTATGCTGTCCCCCATCATGGAACGCTAGCCTTTAGCAATCCTCTGCTGAAGTATAAATCCATCTTTCAAGGCTCCACCTCTGCCATGGAGTTCTTCCCTGATTCCTCAATCTAAGTGGGCTCTCTCCTTCATGGAACTCTTGTGGTAGAGAGACTCCATGGGCAGCAGGTATTTTGCACAATTTTATCTGTGTTCATCCTATCTTTCTCCTTTGGATCATCAACTGAAATCATGTCTTATATGATTTTGCTTGGCACTTTGCAGTTGCTTAATAGAGACTTGACGACTGATTGGAGGAAAGCACCTGCAGTTGGCCATCAGGGATGTTTATGAAGAACTGCTGTCCATTCCTCATCCTTATAAGGGTTAAGTGTCATGCTTTCCACTTGGAAATTTTGTATAATTGAAAAGTCTTTCTGAAATAGAAACCTGTCAGACGAGACAGAATTTCACCTTAACAAAATTACAGGGTAGCATCTAGAACCAAAGGAGTTTGTAAATGACAGCTAAATCAGAGTTAGCCATAGGTATCGGCTTTAGCAGAAACTGGGCTGCATTCATAAAACCCCAGGACACTGTGTGGTACTGAGTGTGGTAGGCTGAATGATGCCCCCCCCCCCAATGATGTCCACATCTTAATCCCAGGAACTTGCGAATATATTACTTTTATACCTTAAAAGGGACTTTGCTGATATGATTACATTAACAATATTGGGATTATCCTGGATTATCTGGATGGGCCCAGTATAATCACAAGGGTCCTTATAAGAGGGAGGCAGGAGATCAGAGTGAGTAGTTAGAGATGTGATGACAGAAGAAAGAGGTTGAAATGATGCAAGGAAGGGGCCAGTACCTCAGGAATGCAGATAGCCTCTAGAAGCTTCCCTCAAAGCCACCAGAAGAGGCCAGCTCTGTTGACACCTTGACTTTAGCCCAGTGGGACTGATTTTGGACTTCTGACCTCCAAAACTGTAAGAGAATAAATCTGTGTTGTTTTAAGCACCTAGGTTTGTGGTACCCAATTTGTTAAAGTGGCCAAGAGGAAACTAACACGCCATGAGAAGGCCATCAGTAATGAGAGGAATGCAGTCTCCTATTGGAACCACCCTGGGCTCTGTTTCTGAGAATCGGCACCAGCAAGCCCTACTATGTCTGTCCTGGCAGCCATGTTCTCAGTTGCTTAGCAACCAGGCAAAGGGTAGGGTATGCACCATGCAAACCAAACTAAAGGCTCCCACTGCAACTTCCTCCAGGAAAGAGAAGACACTTGGTGTCAGGATTTAGAAACCAAAAGCTAAAGAACAAATGAGATGCTAGGGACTCACATACTCTTCTTTTTTTTTTTTTTTTTTTTTTTTTTTGACATTCCATCCAGAGATAGGTAGATTTTCACATATCAAAACTGAGACAAGTTTGGGAAAGCTAGAGCTGCTAACTTAGTGCCACAACAACCAGCTTATTCAATTGAATAACTGATCCATTCAAGGGGGAAAAGAATCAGTTGAATCAGCTGATTTTACTGAATTGACTTTTATTGTCTCAGATTTGATCTACCTCAGAGCCAAAGAGATATCACCCAAGATTCACCAGGCAGATCCCATAGTCTGGTGTTTATCACCCCAAAAGACAAGCCAGTGTCTTAAGTTTCTGAATCACAGGGTTTTCATTTCAGACAGTTTGTATACAGTCTCATGAGAGACAAAAACATACACAACATAAGCAAAATAGAAAAACACAGCTTCATTTCCCATAAGCAATAAATGCTACAAGAAAATCAGGGCTCCAAACATCCTCTGCTCCCTGTTTATTCTTTTCTTATCTATAAAAGGAAAATGTACACAGTGTCTTTGCCATGTAATGTCAGGGTCGATCTGTGATAAGCTGTAGTTTGACAAGAAGCAGAGTAAAGAGACCTTTATCCTGAGTTTATCCCCAGCAGTGAACTTTCGTATGTGGGGCTTCAAACAAGGCCACCTTTGGGAAAAGAGCCACTTTAATGCAGTTTATAAAACAAATCTCCCAAACATTTATTTTTCAGTCAAGCTTCTGGTTATATTGGGGTTACTATGAGCAACAAAATGAAAGAAACCTCCCACACATTGGCGTTGGCACACAATAAATAATAACGGGAAGTAGTAAAACATTTCCAGTCTGATTTCATTCTGAAACTTTTGTTGATAACAAAATTTCTAACAATGCTACAGAACTACTAATTGATCTTTTTTCTCACAGGAGTTATAAATACTTAGATTCAGACAGTCAAATTCACGTACATAAAAAGTTCTTTCTGAAAAACTGAACAATAAGAATACCATCACACAGGCCTGGCAGAAGAGAAAGCTGTGGAACTTTATTCAGTTCTCAGAATGACCTTAGCATAGAGCATCGTTGGCTTAATTTAGATTATTGGTTTTTCCTAGTCTATCTCTTCCTCTTATCCCCACTGGCATTCATATATTCATGAGCATGTACTCCTTAGGTGACTGTTTTAAAGAAAACACCAGAAGAAACAGGGAGGATGGACATAGTGAAGTGTATTCTCCAAACCAGTGGTTCTCAAACACAAGTGGGAACAACTATATGCAAAAATGCAAAACTTATGTTAAAAATTCAAACAGTATATTAAAAATGTAATTCTGATTCAGATTAGTTCCTGAAATACAGAAATCCTTTCTAGACCAAAAAGACTTAATGATTCTGGTTGCCCTCTTAATTCAGGGAAGGGAGGAGCATAGAGTGCCATGGACCAGTTGTATGGGTTCCTTCAAAGACTTACTGGCTGAGAATTAGAGAAAGAAGAATCACCCCACCTCGCTCCTTCCCCAGCCAGTTGACTGTGGGAAGTGGAGCTGAGTTCTCGGGCTTTGAGGGAGAGCGAGTGGTCTGGAGACAGGGCCCTAACACAGCCCTGCCCCAGCCCCCGGCCCAGGCACCTGTCTCATCTTTAGCCGAATCCAAAAACTGTGCAAAGAACTACCTTCTGCACAAAAGAAGGCAACCTCATGATGCAAAGAGTTAACATGCTCGGCTGCTAACCAAAAGGTTGGAGGTTTGAGTCCACCCTGAGATGCCTCAGAAGAAAGGCCTGGTGATCTACTTCTGAAAAAAATCAGCCACTGAAAACCCTATGGAGCACAGTTCTACTCTGACATACATGGGGTCACCATGAGTTGGAGTTGACTCCATGGTAACTGGGCGCAGTTTCAGTACATAACCAGAATGTTTCTGGGCCCCGTGGAAAAGGAGTTACCTCTTTGAAAACTTTGGCCAGAGATCCATGGTGGGTTCACTTCCTGTGCTGAGCATGAAGCTAGCAGCCACTTAGACACACGGGAGAACTAGACCCCAGGGACAGGCACGGTAAGGCCAGGGATGTGGGCCTAGACAACCCCCCACAAGTTCTTCCATTCCTTCTGTTTGAAGTCCAGCCAGGCTGTAAAAACCTGCTCACCTGTCCATGTACAGAAATCAAGGCTCCCCAGGTCTCCTAAGGCAAACCCTTTGGAAAGCTGTAGGTCTGTTTGGCACTAACTGAGCACTAGCAGGCAGTGTGTTGCTGGGTTTGCTTTGTTACAATTTCCTCTTTTAACTCTACAAACACCTTATGCTACATGGAAAGCAGATCCCTTCTCTGGGATCCACCCTGAGAAAGGCCAGGAGCCCAGATGGAGTCAGGGCACAGTCTGCTCCCAGAGTCTTTCCCGCAGAAGCCACTGCTCTTTGGGGTTCTACATCTCATAGTCGTCCTCCCCTGAAGACGCCAGGGGCTCCAGGGCAAAGAACTCAGCATCCCATTCCATGTCTTCTCCTGAGAGGTTGAAGAGGATCTGTCTGGATCTCCCCAGGCTGGAAGGGAAGAATGATGCAGAGAGTTTAAGTTCAGCTTGGCTGGCAGCACAGAGGGAAGGGATGCTCTGATTGTCACCATTCTGGTGGAGACCATCAGATTGCTCCCCAGTCCTGAGCCTGGTGAAGGACCAAGCACTGATATCATGGTCAGACTTTAGGTGGACCCTGGCCTGCCCCTGAAGGGGAAGGATGGGAGATGGCTCCTGGTTGTAAGATGTCCAATACATGGTCTATTATTGTTATGGACTGAAGTGTGCTCCCCCAAAATATGTGTTGGAATCCTAACTCCTATGCCTATGGATATAATCCCATCTGGAAATAGGGTTTTCTTTGTTATGTTAATGAGGCCATAAAAATTTAGAGTGTGTCTTAAACCTAATCACTTTTGAGATATAAAAAGAACAAATTAGGCACAGAGACAGCAAGCACAAATGGCAGAAAGATAGATGCCATGTGGAGATTGCCAGGGAATAAAGAATGTGGGGGTTACAGAAGCTGAGACAAGGATCTTCCCCCAGAGCAAACAGAGAGAGCCTTCCTCTAGAGCCCTGAATTTGGACTTCAAGCCTCCTAAACTGTGAGAAAATAAATTTCTGTTCATCAAATCCACCCACTCGTGGTATTTGGGTTACAGCAGCACTAGGTAACTAAGACAATTATTATGGGAGAAAAAGCTATTTAGAAAACATCCTGAATCCATCAGAGTTGGACAACTCTTGTAAAAACAGAGGAAAACAGAGGTTGATGACCTTTGATGGGCCATTCTGTTGTGAACGGTCCCAGCAGAAGTTCTCCATCCAGACAGTGGCCAATGGCTTTTAAAGTCAGTAGCCTCCAATTAATTTGATGCTGGTTCCACCTTGATGCAATTCCCTCTTGTACTCCAAACTCTCATTAAAAATCTGTAGCACAAAGAGGGCAGAGCAAGATGGCAAAATATGTGGATGTTCTCATTTACTCCCCCAGCCACTAACACACTGAATAAGGAATAAAAATGAGCACAGACTGAGATCTCAGAACTCTGGACAGCAGCTGTGGTGTCGGAGAGCCTGGGTGAGTCCAGAAGCAAGGGAGAGGAGAAGCGAGGATGTCACAGAAGCTGGGAGAACCTACCTGCTAATATCTGGAGCCCTTGCTCATCGTAGCCATTTTGGGACCAGGCTGGGCAACACCCCAAACAGGGAAGAGAGCTAATCTGAGGAAGCTGTAGCCTGATTTTTTTAAGGCAGTGCAAATTGGCCGTAGGAGTTCACAGGCCGGGCAATTGGGAGTGGGCAATGGGAGATCGTGGCACTGTGAGAGAGTGCTGCTGAATCTCACTGAGGCCCAAGACAGAGGGGCACTAGGACTTGGAGGAACTGCAAGGGGAGCGGGGTGAAAGAAATCTTTCAAACTGACAGGTAACACAGAGGGAAGTGGCTGGCTCCTGTTCACAGAGAGACACCATGGGAGGGCCTGTGCAGGGGTGCCCATGATGGAAAGACTCAGAGAGCCCCCCACCTTCTCCATAGGAAAGTCGAGCCCCAGCGCTTATGTCAGCATCTGCAATCAGCTAAACACTCCCTCCCACACATGTATATTGAATTCCAGAGATCAAGCATCCAGAACACCTCAACCAACACTGAAAAAAACCTAAGGATAAGCGTGCCCTCTAGTGGTTCTCAGGAGAATATAACCAAGCCCACTGCCACTGGGTCAATTCTGACTCATAGAGACCAAGTGGGGCAGAGTGGAGCTGCCCTGTGGGGTTCTCAGAGCTGTCTTTGAGGAGGTGAACTGCTGCATCTTTCCCTGTGGAGTGACTGGTGAGTGATGACCTGGGCCTTTCAGTTAGCAGCTGGGTGCTTGTCTGCTGTGCCACCAGGGCACCCAATCAGAAAATTTTCCCACAAACACAAAATTTAAAGTAAAAAAAAAGATAACAAAATAGCCAATGTTCAACAAAAATATAATAAAATACACAAAAGCACAAGAGAAGGACCAATCAAAAACAAAACAAGAAAAAGGGGAAATTTCTCCTGTGGAGGCCAGACTAATGCAAAGAGTTGATAATTTTCAGACTATGGTGCTAAATATGTTTAAAGAAAGCAAACAGCACACAGAAAACAAATTAGCATAGATCAAGAAATAAATGGAAGAACAAAATGACTCAACAAAGAAATTGAAAACATCAAAAAAACGATAACTACTGGAACTGAAGAATAAAGCAACTAAGTTAGAAAAAGCATGAGAAACACTCAACAATAGAGTAGAACAGACAGAAGATAGAATAAATGAACTAGAAGACAAAATAACTGAACTTACCAAGTCTCAAGAGAAACAAAAGAACAAAGAAAAGCAAACAAACCCAAAAAGAAATGCAGGATTCAATTAAGAAATCTAACATTAGAATTATTGGAATCCCAGAATAACATGACAACAACAAAGGCATAAAAATAATTTTCCAAGAGATAATCAGAAGGAATTTCCCAGACCTGAACAGAGAACCAAGCCTGCAAATACAGGAAGCTACATGAACATCAGAAAAGGCACAAAAAGATCAGCTCTGCACCATATCCTAATAAAATTCTTGAAAACCAAAGACAACGAAAGAATTCTGAAAGCAGCATGAGAAAAATACAATACAACATGTCAAGGGCCTTTCATAAGAATCAATGCAGATTTCTCCCCAGAAACTCCAGAGGTCAGAAGACAATGGAGTAACATATATAAAATACTGAACAAAAACAATTACCAACCAAGAATTCTTTACCAAACAAAGTTCTTATTGAAAAATGAAGGGGAAATCAAGACATTCCCAAACAAACAGAAGCTCTGGGAATTTGCCATTACCAGACCAGCTTTGCAAGGATTACTCAAGGGAGTACTCCAAATGGAAAGACAAGAGCATTAAATAAATACTTGTATCTATACACAGGAAAAACAAATAAATAAATAATAAGAGAGATAGATCTCCAAAAAACACAACCACATGGGCAATCCTAAGGACCAAGTATATGATATTTTCAGAGAATAAACTCAGTAATTAAATCCCACAAACAATACAACATCAAGTTTGTAAGAAATAAGCACAAAGTAAACTTACTGAATGAATATAGGTTGTATATTGATTATAATGGAAACACACCAACAAAAAAGGGGGAGGGAGGAGCATATCAGATTTATTATGTTAAGATTGTATGTTACTGTTGTTCCTATGTTAAACATTGTTGCAATTGTAAGTTGTAACGTAATACATGTGATAACCACTAAGAAATCATCAAGAAAAAACACTCAGAAGAAGGAAGAAAGCAAAACAGTTCATCACAAGAAAGCAGCCAAATACAAATAAAATCAGAAAAATAAGAATTAAAAAAAAACAAGACACAAAACACTCAAAAAACATATAGCAAAATGAGTGAGGCAGTTTTGTTTTCAGTAATAACCTTAAATGTAAATGGTCTAAATGCCCCATGCAAAAGGCAGAGAGTACCAGAATGGAGAAAAAACATGATCCATCCTTTTGCTGTCTACAAGAAACATACCTTAGACAAAAGGACACAAACAGACTGAAAATAAAAGGATGGATAAAAATATTCCATCTGACCAATAAACAAAAAACAGCAGGGGTGGCCATACTAATATCAGATAAAATAGACTTTACATCAAAATCTATTACAAGAGATGAAGAAGGATATTACTTAATAATAAAACGATCAATCCAGCTCAACAATGTAACAATTATAAATATATATGCACCTAATGGCAATGCAACAAAATTCATGAAACAATACTAATATGAAAGGATAAATAGACAACTCCACAATAATAGTAGTGGACTTCAACACACCACTTTCAATTATAGACAGAACACCTAAAAAGAAGACTACTAAGGACATTGAGAACATAAATAAAACCATAAGCCAACTGGACCTAACAGACATATATAGAACACTTCACCTAGCATCAGAGCAATACACATTCCTCTCCAGCTCACATGGGTCATTTTCCAGAATATACCATATGCTGTAACACAAAATAAGCCTCAACAAATTTAAAAAGATTGAAATCATACAAAGAATTTTCTTAACCATAACAGAATGAAGCTAGAAATCAATGAGAAGAAAAATAAGGAAAAAAAAAAAAGGAAACTAAATAATGCACACGTTGTTGCTGTTGTTGGTGCCGTCAAGCTGGTTCCAAATAATACTGAACCTATGTACAACAGAATAAAACATTGCCCAGTCCTATTTTTACCAAAACAAAGGTTGAGAAGTTAGAGGGTTGACATGTTGTGGGGTTGTTAACCAATGTCATAAAACAGTATGTGTACTACTGTTTCATGAGAAACTATTTGTTCTGTAAGCCTTCACCTGAAGTACAATAAAAATAAATAAAAAATTAATTAATTAATTAAAAAAAAAAAAACATTGCCCAGTCCTGAAACATCCTCAGAATCATAGCTACGTTTGAGCCCATTGTTGCAGCCACTGTTTCAATCCATCTCATCAAGGGTTTTCCTCTGTTTCACTGACTGTCTACTTTACCAAGCACGATGTTCTTCTCCAGGGACTGGCCCCCCCGATAACATGTCCAAAGCACCTGAGATGAAGTCTCACTATCCTTGCTTCCAAGGAGCATCTGGCTGTACTTCTTTCAAGACAGACTTGTTCGTTCTTCTGACCGCTTATAGTATATTCAATATTCTTCGCCAACACCATAATTCAAAGGCATCAATTCTTCTACCAGTCTTCCTTATTCATTGTCCAGCTTTTGCACACACGAGGCAACTGAAAATATCAGGGCTTGGGTATGGCCCACCTTAGTCCTCAAAGTGACATATTAGCTTTTGAACACTTTAAAGAGGTCTTTTGTAGCAGATTTGCCCAATGCAATACGTCCTTTGATTTCCTGACTGCTGCTTCCATGAGTGTTGATTGTGGATCCAAGTAAAATGAAATCCTTGACAATGTCAATCTTTTCTCCATTTATCACGATGTTGCTTATTGGTCCAGTTG